GGAGCGCACTCCTTCACTACAGACTGTCTCTATCTCTCTCTCTCTCTCTCTCTCTCTCTCTCTCTCTCTCTCTCTATCTATAACTATTTATCAATATATCTATCCATCTATCTCTCTCTCTCTCAATCTATCTCTCAATCTATAAGGAACCGCAGTAGACATAAGGCGTTGCTATAGCAACACGTCATGTTTATATGAAAAGGGGTGGGGTCAATATGACCCGCTTGGCGGAAATAGGTATAAATGGCAATTTTTTGGGCGATTTCTTCAATCTGACTTCATATTGACCATTTTTAACAACATAGGGTGCTACATAACACACTTTCAGGAAAAGTCACGGACTGGAAGACTTTAATATTTTATTGAAAAAAAGTTACACACAATAAAAAACAGCTCTGGGTCAAATTGACCCGATTGGCGGTTCTAGTGTTAACTGCTTACTCATCCCTCAGGATACTGTAGGTACAACAGATGCTTCATTTCCCCTCGACCTCTACACACACACACACACACACACACACACACACACACACACACACACATACATTCTCTTCAAGGGGCATTGCCTCCCTCTGTCCCCACTTTGTTCCCCCTCGTTGTGTCTCTCACACACAGAGGCATAGGTGAAGCCTTTGAGGTCAGTTGTGAGACCTTTCTGTCCCACCTCTAACCCGTCCACATACACAGTAAGAGGGTGGCTTCAGGCTCAGCTGTAAACATAACCCTAATGGCCTGGACACTTTGATGTCACGTCTTTTTTTTTTTTTTTTCTGTGACCTGTCCAACCCTGTCTCTCCATAGACCATTGACCAAGCAGCCAGCCAGGGCGAGCTGTCATTCAAACTCAGTAGTGCTGGGGTCATAGCACTTCCAATCTCTCAGCAGGGATTTGTTGGGATATGTTGTGACAAACATAAACACTCTGTCTGCTTCTCTGTCTGTCTGTCTGCCTGTCTTGCCGTATCTAAAAAAGTCACCTATAAATAATAGTAGATATCGATGCTCCTTTTTCATTTTGATTTGTTCCACGCTTCATTTTCTTTCTCTCTCTTTCCTTCTCTCTCTCACATTCCACCACTCTTATAAAGTTACACACACCAACCCTATCAGCATTTTCTCACTAATGGATGTGTGTGTTTACACTGTGTTAAGGGAAGCAGTGATAATGGTGGCTGTAAAGTAATCTCACAACTGTTAACACTCATCTCCTATCTCCTTTATTATCCACAGCTGGGCCTGCTTTAGGTGTGCCTGTGTGCATGCATGTGTGTGTGTGTGTGTGTGTGTGTGTGTGTGCGTGTGTGTGTGTGTGTGTGTGTGTGTGTGTGTGTGTGTGTGTGTGTGTGTGTGTGTGTGTGTGTGTGTGTGTGTGTGTGTGTGTGTGTGTGTGTGTGTGTGTGTGTGTGTGTGTGGTGTGTGTGTGTGTGTGTGTGTGTGCATGGCAGCACTGTGCGAAGACACTTACAGAGCTACTATGATCTAAACATAATTTGATTCAGTAAGATGTGACAGATTTTCAGTGTTTGAGCACATAATACATATATAGATCTATGATGTTAACTGAGAACTGATAGCTAAATAACTGTCTTGGAATACTTTGTTTCACCTCTGAATAAACAGACCTTTTTATGCTATGAAGGAACGTTTATTATTATATTGTTCCTATTGCTTTGTGTTTTATCCTCCAGCCTTTATTTCCATGCTTTTACACTCTGATTACAGTTATTTGCAGCACTGTAATATGGTATTATATAGAGATCTCAGATTTCATATTCAACTTTCATAACATGCATATAATATAGTTACAGTGCTGCTAAAGTTGGGGTTTCAAATTATCACATTAATTTGTGTATCCTGCCTATTTTTCATTGTTTAATCATCCAGAACTGATTTCAGTTGTACTTTTGTGAGAGCCTGGTATAGTATATAACCTTTGTGTCCAACTAAACTGCAGCATATTGTCCTAGTAAATGTACATATGTTTCTTCTTATCACCAAGCATCTGGACAAGTTTTTGCATCACTTTCATACAGTTTGTGGGCCCTACTTGTGCATAAACTGTGAGCAGAGACAAAATATGTGCAGGGCCGACCACTAGGTCATATGTGGTCTTTAGTCCATCTCTGCAAGGCACACTAATCTGTGTGTGCACCCAACAAGTTGGACTGAGCGGGCATTACATCATGGAAAAAGGTCTCCGATGCCCGCTCAAATTAAGAGCATGATATCATTCTCTCTCACAGTGTGGATGTGCACTGATATAAGCAGAGAAACACCCACACACTGACAAACACAACACACACACAGTGGCAGGGCCATAAACAGTGGTCAGAAGTTATTTAATGCCTCTGGTGGGCAGCTAGACAGCGTCACTTAGAGCCTCTGTGGTCTAAACTTTAGACCACAGAGGCTATTTGACACTCTGTCCACAGGACATCTTATCCCCTACGCTTCTGTCCAGAGAGGGTGATGCTTACTCATCCTCCAACATCCCTACCTTACCTATAACAGTCAAGGCAAAGATCACAAGGTGCTCTATAACTTGAAATGCCATCCATCAGTATATTAAACCAAAGGTCATGCCAGTGGAGTCGCCCAAGTGATAAATCCATAGTATAAGTGAGGCTATTCAGTATCAATTAAAACTCTATAGCACCTTAATCATCTACAAACGTTTAACTAGACATCCTAGATGTGATGTAAGACAGCCAAAATAAGATTTCATTAAAAGTGTGTATGATTTAGGGGGATCTATTAGCAAAAGCTGCGCTTCAATAGTGTATAATCACCTGAAACCATGGCTTTTCCTGTGTTGTCGTTAGCTTAGAATGGGCGTTTCACATTGGGATTGGGACCACATTTTCTCAGTGGCCAGACCATTGAATTACAAATTGTGGGTCTGTAGATGTTGCTATTGGGCTCAAAAAGACTATTCTCCAAATGCACTAATAACCAGAATAATTGTTATCCATGTGAATTAGTTAGGGTGCTTGCATATCCTGTACAATTTGAGTATTGAAATATTTACGGAGAAATAGAAATAAAGGTGTATTGGATTTCTCTTTGTTGCAGCCAACAGTGCAAACATGTCTCAGCTCTAGAAAGACAGGACGGGGCTCTAAATATCGCTGTGACTTTAGATGGTCAACTTTTTTCATGTATTTATGTATTCAATAACATTACATTACATTACATTACATTACATGTCACTTGTTAGACGCTTTTATCCAAAGCGACTTACATACATTCAGTACTGTGGCCAATCCCCACAGGAGCAATTTGAGGTGAAGTGTCTTGCCCAGGGACACAACGACATGCTGACTGCAGTGGGTCTCGAACTTGCTATCCCCTGATTCAAAGTTCAGCGCACTAAGTTCAGCACACTATCCCACTGAGCCACAGCCTCCTTCGCCACGAGGATTAAGCTCCTATCTTTGCACCAAGGGGTCAATAAATATCATGACATCAAGTTAAATATGTTTCGCGTATGTGTTGATCACTTGGTGAAATGTTTGAAGAAAAATCCATCTTTATCCCTGCTTTCCCCTCATTCTCCCTTAAATCATCCTTTAATGATAGAGCAGCATGTCTAATTCTCTTGACAAGCCATTACATATATGAAACCAGATGGAATTTCTCCATGCGTATTTATTTAGATTCGATAGTGCATGTATAATGCCTTTTAAAGCTAAACTCTTCTCATCCTCCCTATACAACATTCCTGGCAAGTGATGCACCAAATTACCACAAATAAAGTTTAGACTGTTAATATATACAACTCTATGTGCTGACAGCAATGTTTTCCTGGGTTGTTTGGGGTAGAGTGTGTGATGAGGGATTGAGCTGCCTGCACCTTCAGTCTGGGGTCACATGGGACAAACGCAATGATGCTTTGAGGAAGGGAGAAGGAAGAGGAGGCTCGGGGATTAGAAGACTTAGACATGTGGTCGTCTCTAAAAATAACATAAACTATACTGTCCTCATCAGGATCAGATGATTGTTTGTCTCAGATGAATCAATGCTTGATATATATTTATCCTAAAACAAGCCAAGTATTTGTTATTGCCAATGTATATACTTGTTAGGAGTGTAAAGAGCAAATGGAGGTAATTACGAAATAAATATGTGGTGATGTTTAGGTTTAGTAGAGATGAGGGCCGAGTTTACGCAAGAAGGGGATTTAAAACTGTGCAGTGGGGTTTAAGTTACAGTTTTAAAGCCTGAAGTTTCGGCTGTTCTGACTTGCCCCAAAGCCACTCAACCATGTAGTGTCTAACACCCTAAAGAGTTAGACCTGCAACGAGATACATGAGAGTGGTGCTTAGTCACAGAGATAGTTACTCCTATTTTCATCTATTTATCACCTCATTATTGGTATTGTCTGCATGCCAATGACTTTATCTGTGAGAAAGTGTTTTACTACTGACATTTAGTTAAGAGTTACAATATTTAAAGAAATACTTTACCCACAAATATATATATGTCAATTACTTGCCCCATTTACCTTGAATTCTTGATGAACATTTTGCCTAACCAAACATCTGTTTACAAGCGCTCAGACACGTGCAGTGTAACCCAAGTCTCATTTGCTCACTGTTTCCCAACACCTGCATTTTTGCTAAAACCCAAATATTTAGTACACTTTTAGTTCGTCCAGACTTGCAATTCATCTAGACTTTTTTATTCCTTGTTCCCCATGGAGACATGCGTGAAAAAATAATTCGAGGTAACAGGGGGGGAGTAATTATATACAAATGATTATTTAGTGTGAGAAGTATTCCTTTAAGCCTCCACCACGCATCAGTTATACAATCCCTTGTATTTATATCTCTGAAGAACAATAACCTACAGTGGCCACTGAAGAAGAGATGTGACACAACACATGGTGTCTTCATCACTAGCCATGTACAGTTATTGTGTCATTTGTGAATACCCTGTATGATTAAGTGATTGAGTAGCTGTTCATGTTGACTCAGCCAGATTGTGTTGTGTTGTCCCAGCTGGTCTGTAGGAGAGTGGGGGGTGTGCAGCCAGGGCTGTGGAGGAGGGGAGCAGACGCGGCAGGTCCAGTGTGTCCAGAGGAGCAGCCAGACTAATGTAGACGCCCTGACCGACTCTCACTGCACCCAGCCCGCCCCACCCAGGGGACAAGCCTGCAACACACACAGCTGCTCGCCAGTTTGGACCGCTGGGCCATGGTCACAGGTGAGCATGTGTAAAAGGGATATGTAAGAATCTGAATTTTCAAGGATCACTACTGTCGTAGTTCAACACTTACATCCACAGCAGGAAATAAAATACTGCACGCTCTCAATTCATCTAAAATGGCTTTACACACCAGCCTTGATAGTTTCACCACATTTTATGACAGTGATCTCAGTGGCTTTAAAATATGAATGTTCTGAGACATTATTATATGTTTCATTCTCTGTCCAATTCCTATACATTGTGTGTGGTAAGTTGTCTGACTTTTTTTTAACTGCCATTTTGTCCCAAATGTCCTTAAATACCTGCCACAAGTGGTGTCCAGTTTAATCTCTGGCTCTCTGGTGTAGTGCGTCACCGCCCCCCTGTTTCTTGGATGTAGTGACACTTTTTTCTCAGGCCATGCCAAAAGATGTGTGCTTAGGATCAGAATGAATATTGGGGGAATTCTTTTGACTACCTCAAAGGAAGTATGAAGGATTTAAAGTACAATAAGTCACTGCATGCATCGGGAATGTGAATATATGGTTGACATGCTGAATGCTTTCTGTGCAAAGCTGGCTTGTGGAGATATTTGGCCTGTGACATTATTTTTCTATGCTAACGTAATTGAATAACTACATTATGTCAATTCTTGAATTCATTTAGACAAATCCTCTTATTTATTAGCTTTAAAGCATTTAAGGACGTCAGAGTTGATCATTATCATGTTCTGGTGTATTTGGCAGTGTTCTCGTAAGTGTGGCAGCGGTTTAAGGAAGAGGACGGTGCTGTGTACGAGCACCAACCCAAGTGCCCGTACGCGCACACTGGCAGACGGTTTGTGCTCAGGTCTGCCGAAACCAGCCAATCAAGAATCCTGTTTCATCAAACGCTGCCAGAAACAACGTAAAGTGCAGTGGTTTGTCTCCACGTGGCAAGAGGTAATTCAAGTCCAGTTATACAGCAATATCATAATATCTTATAAAGCATTCAGCAATGCAGTATGTAAATAATATAACTATTTTTAGCTAATATGAATATGTTCTCTCCATTTCTTCTCTGTTCCTTTCTTTGTTTGTTTGTTCAGTGTTCAGTAACCTGTGGTCGTGGTAATCAGGCTCGCTTCATCAAGTGTGCAGAGAAGGTGTGTATTATATCTGTAATGATGCTGACTCAGATACAGTCAAATATTTGTTGGAAAATTAACTTGAAACAACATTTGTGACAAATCACTGCTGAAAGGCTAATCTCTTCAAATCCTGATTTGTTATAAGTTTGAAATGTTCTTTTCTGTTTTGTATATGAAGTACATACAGTGCTATCATTTTTCCGTTAAGAATTATTTTTTGAGTGCGTCATGTGGCACAATTTCTCTTCTTGCTTACATGCTTATTTGGTTTCCATAATGCAGGACACTGCAGGAAAATACAGAGAGCTGGCTGCCAAGAAATGCCACCATGTCTCCAAGCCCACGGTAGAACTACAGAGGCCATGCACTACAGCTGAATGCCCCATCCGCACCACCCCACCAGTTCAACGATGGAGCACGCATCATCGCACCTATCCACCTAAACCCCTCCCTCAACCTCCGCCTCCAGCAGAATGGCAAACGGCTCCTTGGTCACAGGTAATTTAACTTAGAGAAGGATAAGGTTGTGTTTAATGTAATGTAAGGTTTCCTGCATCACATTTGGTTTCTGCAGATAAATGCTTTATAAGCTCATTACATTTTGTGATCGGAGAGAGAGAGGAGGAATTGAATGTGTTATAACATGGTTCATGACATCAATGATCAAGGTTTCTTCGTATTTTACAGTGCACAGTGACATGTGGAGGAGGAGTGCAGGCCAGGACAGTCCAATGTCTGGTGCAAGGGAAGCCCTCCCCTGGTTGTGCCCTCCATCTTAAACCCTCAATGTCCCAGGCCTGCAACACCAACTTCTGCCCACAACCTGAGAAAAAAGGTACCCAAGCTCATATATTATAATACTAATTGCATGCTTGTGTACAAAGTATTGTTTTCTGTAGTCTGGATGGAGTTCTTTTGAAAAACCCTTATGAAACAAGCCTTGATAAGTATTCTTTTTTCTTTTTTCCTCCAGACGTTGCATGTCGGGATTACTTTAACTGGTGCTACCTGGTGCCCCAGCATGGAGTCTGCAACCACAAGTTCTATGGCAAGCAGTGCTGTCAATCCTGTTCAAATTCAAACCTATAATCACATGGAGTGACTCTGTGACGAGACAAATAGGTAGTTAAATAGACAAAAGACTATATTTGAAGTCCATGCTTGAAAAGACAGTGTTTTTGCTTTAAGCGTGTGGCGAGCACTGACAAACATAGACACTTCAATGGAAGTGCAAGAGAGTTGCAGTGCCCTCTTTCCTCTCTGCGATGCCGGACATCTGGATACAAGAACTTGATTCACTACACAGGAATGTGATCAGGACAGTACAAATAAAGGAGAGAATTATAAGGAGGAACTAGCAGAATGGGAATCATGATTAAAGTGAATAAGACTGACACATCCAAAGAAAACTGAAGACCTGAAAAACCCCAGCTTTGTTTATGTACTGTGTGTAAATAAAGAGATGTGTATCCAGGACACCCAACATCTCCCTGTCAACCAAAGGCCAGCGATGGCAGGCCAACAGAGAGAAACTGTCGAAGAGGTTTCAGGCACTGCCAAGCATCATGTGATACGCCCTGCTCTGCTCTGCAATTCTTGATTAAATAAATATCTGATATCTAATAATGAAAAGGGATCATTAAAAAAATGCAGATACGAAAGCAAATATTTTACCCTACGGCCTGATAGAAAACAGACTGAAGATAATCAAAGTGTGCTTCCTCAATAGCTGGACAATAACAGGAAGCTTTGTGTTGTCATTTAAAAGAAAAAAGAAAGGAACATAAAAAAAGCTTTACTGAGATCGGTCAAGCCTGTGCAATGACTTTCATACTCAATGGTGCTTTATCGATGTCTTCTGTCACACAATCAATGTTAAATCCTGAAGTTTCAGGAAGAAGCAAATTAATTGTGTGACCTGTGTAAAGTATTGTTTGTTTTATTTATTGGCTTTAAAATACAGCGTTGCTGGAAGACTGTATTTATAAGCAATATAAATGTGTCATTGTATTACTTACCCTAAGGAAATGATCCTAAGCCCATTACCTTTATATTTTGTATTAATTTCATAGGATTTCATGCTGACAAACTGCACCTTTTTTCATCAAAACATTTATTTCATTGTTGAAGAAAATAAAAATAAACTGATTTGAATAGCCCATTTCAAGGTGTTGAGTGTAAATCAAAAATAATGGCAAAAGGAAGATCATTACATTGTCCAACATTATTCACAAGTCATGTATTGCATGCATTGATATGTCCCAGAAATAATGCATTACATATTCTTTGTGGTTAAAATCAGTGATAAAATAAACAGAAGGCTATTTTAATGTGATTTTTTTTACAATGTAAATGAAAAACAATAAACATGTGTGTCAAGTCAGCATCTCAGCTTCTGTTGATTTATTTCCTTCTTTGCTGCTGGTAGTAAGAGTGAATTTGATCTTACCAGGGAGGTGTGAAACTTTAAATACATTCTTAAAAAAGGTGGAACAGGCTCAGGAAGCGAAACGTGATCCATGCATACGAGAACCTTTAGCACCCCAATGAAGAAAAGTGGCGCAGTTTATGCTTGGAGAATGCTTAGCTAGGTTAGCTTACCTCAGATCTTGTTAGTTGCTAGTTTAGCAATTGGTAAACCTGCAAAAATACATTTTGACCACCTGGGGGCAGCGCAGCAAAGACATTATTATCACTTTTAAAAGTTATTGTAGCAAGCAGGTTAGCTCCCATATTGCTGTTTAGCTGCTAAATGCTCCACTATGTTCACCAGCTAGTCTCTAAGGGTTTTTGTAGGCAGGAGACATGCAAACATTTCTTTAGAACTATTTTGTTGGGGACAACCGGTGGGTGGGGCTCAAAAAATGAACAAAGAAAAAAAACGGTGTTCTTGCAACCAATGAAGCCAAAACAAAGTCAGTGCAGCACAGGCCAGCACATAGGCCAGCAGCACACAAGCTAATGGTAATGCCCATGAGGTATTCCATTTCAACACGTATGACATCTTGTGTCTGGGCTTTACTCTTTCGTCATTTCTCAACAAGTCAAATAGACACAGATGCCCAAAACAAAATCACCATTGTCACACTCCTCTGGGCAATCCCCTTCAGAGAGAGAGAGAGAGAGAGAGGGAGGAAGAAGAGAAGAAGAGTGTGAGAAGAGAGGGAGAGATTAGTAGAGTGGAAAGGGAGGAGGGAGGGCATACATGTATTTGGTGCTGTCATAGAAAAATGCTGTGAGAAAGGGAGAGAGTGAGCCAGAGGTGGGTAAAGAGAGAAAAGGGGGTTTTCCTCCATGTCAACCACCTCTCTGTAGTTGATTTATAGTTGGTCAGCTGTGGGCACGGTGTTATTCTGCATGGTTCTGTGTGTGTAGACAATACAAGATGTGCAGATATGCAGAAGGGTTTTATAAATGAATGCCAGTTTGCTGACAAAAGCAACACCACACACACACACACACACACACACACACACACCACACACACACACACACACACACACACACACACACACACACACACACACAGTCAGATTACTCAAACCCCCCAAGCTTCTGGAATGCATTGTCATCAGCCACTCTTCACCTCTGTCAAGTTAAAACTTAATCTTGTGTAGCAGAGACGAGACAACAAATGACACCAATATAGAAAATAAGATGTGTTTTCAAAATGTTGAAATCATGAAACTAAAAACCTAATCATTAGGTTTCACCCTTATGCCAACATTAAAACCTCTCTTCGTCTGGTATTGGAATGCCATGTATACGGTATTTCTAGAGTTTCCATTGTCTTCTGCTGTCTGTTTGAGTTTCCACCTGCTAATGCAATTCAGCTGCATTAGTAACTGTACACACCTGTATGTGTGAATGCAAATGTGCATGTGTTTCTTTGACAAAATTAGCTAGCCCCTTGAAAAACTGATGACCCATTTTTTGTAATAACTCTTCAAACATGAATATCACAATAATATAGTAATAATACAATAATGTCTTGCTTGTGACTGACTTTGTCTTCTATGACTTTCATTAGACAGCAATTGTGTCACCTCACTCAGCTACAGCATCCTCACAAAGGAGGAAAAAATCTAACCACACAAGAAGAAAGGGATTAAGAGGATGAAGAATTTTGTTTATACAAAGATAGTGATCAGACAAAGGCTTCCTGTAGGTAACAAGGTGATCGAGATAAATCTGGAAACATCCAAAGGGTTACCTAACATGTCAGGTAACCAAAGAGGTTATCTGTCAGAGAGAGACAGGAAGAGAGAAAGCATGCCCAGCACTCCCCTTTCCACTAAAGAAACTATGCTATCTTCGACTGCATCTGTTTGGAAAGATTTACCTCTTTAGCCTCGGGGCTACACTCTGAAGGTTCATCTGAAGTTACAGGGTTATTATCTTTCCATCAGGATGCACCTACAACAATCCAGCACCTTTAGTTGTTTCCTCTCAGCTATTAGAGTCATCAGGCTGTAGACAACTCGCTGGCCGAGAAACAAACACAATGAGCTGGGGCACTTATCACAAAAGTCTCAATATATGTACATCCAACGTCTAAACTTGCCTTGGCCTTGACTACACCATTTGTATTTCTAAAGATGAAGTTATTTTGAGCCATTACTTCTTTAAGGCCTACTGATTAAAGTGTGTATTTGTATTTGTGTGTGTGTGTGTGTGTGTGTGAGAGAGAGAGAGAGAGAGAGAGAGAGAGAGAGATGAGAGAGAGCAGATGACGAGAGGGAGAGAGAGAGAGATGAGAGAGAGAGGAGAGACGAGAGATGAGAGAGAGAGACGAGAGACGAGAGAGAGAGAGAGAGAGAGAGAGCGAGAGCGTGTCTGACCAAGAGAGAGAGATAATGGCAGATATACATTAGGAACATTGTAGCCTGATCTGTACAACAGTACCCTCTGCTGACTGAAATACAGTATAACACACAATGCAGCAAAACAAACGTGAACATGTTTTCTATTAATCCATTACATGTGGTCGTTACGAAACACTATCATGAGGTTTACTACAGCTCACGTTAAGTTATTACTTTCAAAATAATATTTAAGGTCTCTGGAGCTTCAAAAGTATGTTCCCTGACCGGGAATCGAACCCGGGCCGCGGCGGTGAGAGCGCCGAATCCTAACCACTAGACCACCAGGGACATGTACCGTTGCTCGCAGATCCTTAACTTAATATAACCCAAACTCATACCTTGAAAGTGAGCGAAGTGTTTGTGTTGAGCAAGGATTTAATCAATACAAAGTGGAATGTACTAAACTCACTGAGGTTTACTATGCTGGCTAACAAACTATCGAACACCAAACTATGAGCAGAGAGCATATATTTTATGAGTATAGTGTGTGGAGCGTGTAGGGTATAGTATTCTGCTCCTACTGGCCGGTAAGCCGCAGCACGATTTGCTGCATTTGTTCTGCAACGCCCCCAAATGCCATTGTGAACTGCCTGAAGGAAAACAGAAAATGTAGAGAAACCTCATATTTTTGCCGACAACAAATCAAACGTTAATTTCAACACATGTATTAGTTACACGTAATTAGAAAACTGACCGTAATTTGAAAAGAGTTGCACCGTAGCAATTAATACTACATTTTATGTTAACCGGCATTTCACAAAGCTTCATGTGGGGTCCTGATTTGGGTCCTTGGTCAACGTGGGAGACGCGAAAAATGTGTTTATTTTGAACCTGTCTGGAGTTTCTACTTAGTGAATTTGTTCCTCAATTGATTGTATATGATATTACAGATTGTGAGGGTTTCGGTAAAACCTGTCTTACCATGATGCCAAGGGACAGTCAGTCAAAACGGCAGCAATCGCCGCGGACGCGACGGTTGGAAACTGTCAAACTGCTCTGTTTTGCACCAGGTCAGATTATCCTTTTATGACAGAAAATTCCATTCAAAAGTTGTGTTTGGTCTTTGTAAAGGGGAAATAAACAGTCTGCGATTTTGTGACGTGAACGTTTAATTCCTAAACTAAATATCAGTTTAGGGGAACGTTGTTGGTAATAATAATTGTGGTTGTTTTTTGTTTTGTGTCTTCCTGTCTCCTTACTACAGAGCCTGACCCGAATACGTGTCGTCATTTCTGGCTCTGAAACAGAGGATAGCGGTTTCTGATAGTGAGTAATAAATGCATTATTATTGCCATGGTGATTTGCAGCAAATACATTTTAGTTAGCTATCGGTGACATTTGGACACTGGGGGAATTGGGGGTTGGTCACTTTACAAGGTGTAATCTAGCAACACATAGTAGTAATAATGTGTTCGTACTAGTTTAAAGGGAATGTTTACCAAAGGAACAAGACTCTTATACAAAAGGTGACCTCAGAGTGCGAAATTACATAAAGAATCTCAATAAATGCATAGTTTATTATGTTCATGTGTTACGCAGTGACGCAATTGGACTTCAACAACAGCTGGAAGAGCTGCAGATCAGATTGGTTACTCTGGAGAAAAAGACGGCAGATTATGAATCTTTGCAAGCAGAACTTGAGGAAAAGAAGGTATGCTCTTTCTTTGTAGAGTGTAATTTACACTCTTACAATATGTTTCCTCAACCTTTTCATACACTTAGTTGTGTTGTTGTTGTTTGTATGCCGTGTGTGATATTCTCTGTTTATTTCTTTCAAGGTTGCTCTTAAGACCTTTGGGCAGATTTCTGAAGAGATGGAAAAATTGAAGCAAGAAAATATCAAGATGATGGCAGAGTAAGGGATTATTTTAATTTTAATCATAACAGTGCAAATAAATATATTATAATGGCATTATTTTTGGGGAAAAATGTTAATTTTATTTTTCACATTGTTCAGGAACGAGAAGCTTGAAGACCATCTTAAGGATGTGAAAGGTACTTCACATCCTATAATTTGTACCACTAAAAAGTTGCAAAACTTTGAAATAATAATCTGTTTATAGATGTTTTAAATACATCACTGATTCTTTGCTAAATTGTCTTTCAACCTTATAGAACTGACAAAAACACAGTCACTTGAGAATGCTCTACTGAAGAGGGAAAAAGCTGTAGTAGAAAATGATCTGCTGGAAACACAGGTAAGAAAAAACGGTCTCTGCACTTGAGTCAATTACATTTGCTGTATCTCATCACTGATGATCATTTAGAACCATTGTTTTTCAAAAAGCTTTATTCATAGTTTAAAAGTAGCTCAGGAAAATGTATAATCTTTGCACATTTAATGTTTTACCTTTCAGACCTCTTTGAAGAAATCTCAGGCAAAAGCAGATCAAGTTGAAAGATTGATAGAGGAGAACGCCAAGACAACAAGCATGTAAGAACTGGCTTTTCCCATTTAGTCGTGTCCTTCGCAACCCTTGTTTGGGTTGTTTGTGAGAAACGTATTCTAAAACAAATGATGCTCAAAGGTCCCATGTTGTTTTCTGATCCACAGAAAGGGAAGCCTTGAGAATAAAGTTAGGCTGCTTGAAGGTTGGTATCAAAAATGTATTTTACACCACATGAAAAAATTATTTAATGTTCCTAATGATTTTATTTTGGCTGTTTAACTATACATATTTCTGTCCATATTTCAGACTCGGTTTGCAAACAGAATCATCAAATATCTCATCTGACCAAAGAGAAGATCTTGCTAGAGAGCAATATTGATGACCTCCAGGTGCAGTAATAATCTTTGTAAAAACTGCAAATTTGTGGGGGTGATTTTCAAAGTTATTACACAGACATTTCTTTGTTTTAAATTTCAATTACTTTACAGGTGAGAATGATGAAACTGGAAAGAGAAAGGTGCAAAGGTAAGTAAGAAACAGCTTAATTTACAAATACACTGTTACAACGAATGCTTACTTTGCTGCAGGCAGATATTGGTTCTTCGAGAAGTTAGGTTTTCAGTTAACAAAAAAACAAAAAATGATTCCAAATTACCAAACTTTTTTTAAATTAAGTGTCAAAGGGCCTTTTTTTTTAACAAAAGTGCATTTGATCTATATAATGGCAAAAACTTTATTCTGACTTTAATTTTCCATTTGACAGATTATAGGAGTACATCAACTCAAGCAAGTGCACCGAAGGAGCCTAAAGTAGACAAAGGTATGCAGTCAGCTTCAATTGTGATTTATTACATTAATTTAAGGATCGTATGCTTTGTCTTTATTGGTTGTGCAGCTTGTGATTGATTGCGTGTGCTTTTCAGAAAAGTTCCAAATGCTGCTACAGGATTTATGGGCATGTGTGGAACCTCAGCAGCAGAACCGTGTCAACCTGATACATTACCAAACCTCTCCAGGTGAGGCATCATTAAGCTATGTTGTATAAATGTGTGAGACAGAACTCAACAAGTCTCTCACTTTTGAATCGCTTTTGCATTTATATTTGTAATTTCACCATTTAATGCATTCGTGGCAATCCTTTTTATTCTTGTACATTTCAGAGTCAAGATCCAAGGAGGTTCTACCAAGCCCCCCACAAAACAGACTGCACTCTCATCTGAAGAACGCATCCCAGTCCCCTTCTCATAAGATCAGTCAATCCCACAGTTCCCCTGTGCAAACAAAAGCCATTTTTACACTGTTAAAAAACTCTCCTCATAGGCAGAAAGACATTAAGCATCAAGCATCGCTGCAGTCACCAAGTACCAAGAAACCAAAAAACACTCCCAAAAAGAGCAAGTCCAAGGAGCACAAAGCTGAGGAGTCGTCTTCTGACTTTGGAAGCTCAGAAGTATCTTTGGGGCAGATACTGGCATTGTTCAAACCAGTGCTTCCCTGCATTTCACCTATACCAGACGAGGTGGAAAATCAGGTACATTTTCATATGCATTTTCTCAAAAATAATACCAACTAATGTGCCGTTTTACCTTTTTATGTAAGTGCAAATTGCTGTGTTAAAAGGTCTGCATGCACAATGCAATATTTTTTATTAAAATCAGAATCAATTAAGAATTTTAAAAGAAAGTCACAGAATATGGAATAGGTAGAGATAAAACCACTTTTCATACAGTACTTTTACATCAACTACTAGGTTAGCTTATCCTTAAATATGTCAAAACCTTATATAATAGTATTTGTAACTGAACTAGTACTTTTTAGATATTGTGTCATTTTCAATCAAATGAATTATGATCAATTAAGAAATGAACAAAGGTCTGGCTGTCCTTGTTTGTGATTTATATATTTTAAAATAACAGATTTATTATGTTTAGAAAATCACAATTTGGTCCCTCAAAGCTCCTGTAATGTCATTGCAAAGTGGTCAAAAAAGCACTGTTATATTTTCTGCCTTTTGATTCTCCTGGTCAATTTCAAAGTGGTGGTTGTATCTTATAACACATCTGTGTTTTGTCTTTCAGGATGCAGAAATGGAATCGATGGAGACAACCGATGGGGAAAAGGAAAACCATCCCAAAATCTCTGACGACTCTGTTCCTTCTCAACAAGAAGAGTCCTTACTCATCACAACATCTGGAACAAGCCCCTGTCTAAAACCTTCTGCACTACAGAGAGAGGAAAAGGTAGACTTGCCAGTGGTCACAAGACAGGAAGTGGAACACATTTCCAATGAAAATGACTCCAAAGACTCGGGACAAAATATGTTGAGTCGCATTACTGAAGTGAAGGTCAAAAGCATCACAAATGGAAAGGAATTGCAGAATGAGCACAAGCCGTCAGCCGTGCAGTTATCATCAACAGCTTCTTCTTCTGCTCCTTCTACTTCTTTATCTTCTTCTGCTTTTTCTACTTCTTTATCCTCTTCTTCTTCTACTTCTTTATCCTCTTCTTCTTCTACTTCTTTATCCTCTTCTTCTTCTACTTCTTTATCTTCTGCTTCTTTATCTTCTACGTCACTCTTAGCCGTTTTGGTTGAGGATGCCTTGTTGGCTACTGAAAGTGATGAGCAAGCCAACAGTGGTGCCAATAGTATCCCTGAAGGTGAAAATGCTTCAGAAAATGCAAAGGAAGTTCAGTCAGATACAGGTGAAAAGATTGAGGTCGACACAAGCCCTGGTGATCTTACTGATGCTAAAGCAGTCCTTCCCGAGGTTAGACAGTCCCCCAGAAGGAAGGATACAACTGTAATCTCTGAAGAAACAGTTGATGTTCAGCCAGTTAATTCCTCAGTTACCTCCTCAATAATCATTGACTCTGTGAGAGTTGCTGAGGTAACAAATACAGAAAAGGGTTCCGAACTGGGAAAAAATCTCCAGGACTCTAGTGATCTGGGACAGGGCAGTCAAGATGTCTTGACACCTCAGGAGAATAGAGGCTGTGTGGGCCATGACACAGATGTGCCAGACGATAAACCCTGTTTGTCAATCAGCGATGACGGCCTCAGTAGTGCCACAAGTAAAAATGTTGAAGGAAAGCTTGAAGATGATGCACCCATTAAACCTCTTGGGGAGGAAAGTGGGAACGAAGCACTAGGAACTGGTGAAATCACTGTAGCAGCTTCTATCTCTGAATCAAATGGTGATAATAGACCTACGCCTCTTCCACTGTTGAAGATGGAAGATGACAAAACCCATGCTGACCAGGAAACTGGTCAGGCAAATGTTGCAACTACTGCAGAAAAGGGTGTTGACATAGACACATTCAACTGTGAAGAACTAGCAGATCAAGGCTCTCCCCTTTCTAACTTAAAAGAGGCTGGTAACTCTGAATCTATGAAGGATAATATACATTCTATGTGCAGGCGATTAAGTCCTTCATGTCTGATTCCCACTATAGAATTGCAGGCTTTGGACAAAGACCCAAAACCAGAAACCCAGATAACAACAAACAAAGAAACTGTAGCATTTCAGGACGGCAAAGACGCAAGTCACCTTCAAGTGAAAACAAATATTGTTTGCACTGTTAGATCTACTCTGTCATTAAAAAGTGATACTAGCACAAATGAATGCACAAAAGTTACTGAAAATCAAAGCCCAATTGTGATCCGAGAGGAAGAACCTAGCCCAGTGGCATGTTCCACTACGGCTCAGTCACCAGAATGCATAGGCCAAGTTCGCTCTGCGATGGGCCCTCCGCTTCCTCGTCTCCTAACACCTCTGAAAACACCTCCAAAGGTGGGCAAATCAATCAATCCAAGTCAGGCTATTGGTAAACTCTCATTTCCCTCGCCCATGGAGAGATCTGTTTCGCCTTCCACTCCTGTCCAGGCGCACTTGACTCATAACAGTCGGCAGCTGAGATCCTCTTCACTAAACAGTCCACTCCCTCCGAATGGAGTCCCCTCCTCTCCACTACAGTTCGGTTCCGACACTCCAAAACATGCCGTGCCGGTCCCAGGTCGCCTACCCTCTACGGCAATGAACTCCCCGTCATCTTCCTCCAGTCCATCTCAGGAGAACTCCATGAGGATCCTTGACACCATGTACCCGGAGCTCTCTGCCCACGCCCGAACTCTGAGCATTCTCAGAGGGAATGTCGGGCTCAGCATGTGTTCATCGGAGAGTGGGACGTTACCCACAACAACCAACAGTCAGATGTCTTGCTTTAAGACGATTAACTCCACTTCGACGGCCTTCACCAAGACTGAGATGAGACGAGAAAAAAGACAGGCCGTCAGTTTGCTTCAACCTAAAAGCAGTAAATGTCTCAGGCTAGATAACTGCTCTCCTACTTTCAGCCACAAGCAGATGCGTTCCTCCTCCTCCAACAGTGGAGTGGAGGCCACCTCAGCCCAGACTCTGAGTAGCCAACAATGCAAACCAAAGACAGCTTTACCGTCCCAGGAAGGTGGAGAACCTGCAAAGCAAAATCTTATAGCTCACTTTTTAAAGAAGATTGAAAACCAGTTTTTCGATCTACTGCCTGTGATCCAGAGCCACGTGTATGTTGGTAACCTGACCAAAAAGCCTGTCTTGAGAGACGAAGAGAAGGAGGTCATCTCTGAGATTTGCCAGAACAGCTTGGTGAGTAGACTTGTTTATTCGGCCTATGTATTTCAGTTGTTTTCACTCTTGCCATTCATCATTTATTAATTTGACCGTATGACTTAGCATTTTTTTGCTGCAAATATACTCCAAGTAACACTATATTTTTGGGAGAAAAATGCATTGAGAGGTAATCGCTCTGAGGTTTTTTGGTACCATGGATTTGATTTTTTTGTCAAGTTTTTTTTATCTGCATAATTAAATTAAAGAAAAAAAAGTATTGGTAGGCTTATCTTACTGTATGCAATTGTAGTTTAAAACAGTGTTTTTTGTATGCACAATTGGTTCTTTCCCATTAGTCATTTAGTTCTGAATAACATGCCCTTTGAGTAACTTCTTTATTGTTCAGTTAAGAAAAAAGAGACTGAATGTCAATAACTCAAACAAAGGCTCTTGTGTAGCTCCTGACAAATACAATATCTATGTAAATGCAAACGCCTGCTAATAGCTCATACGATGTGTTTGTTTAAAAAATGTGTCCATGTGAATTAACTTGTGCATGTTTACTCTCTCTTCAGCTTAACACGGGTGACATGATTTTGGCCATCCTGGAAAAGTTGAAAGAGGGGAAAAAATATCTGAACAGTAACCACATACAGGCCCTCTGTAGAGTCCACACAGGGATCTGTAGACAGACAAGAGATTGGGAGAAAGCTCACATCCTGGCACACAGCATTCTCACAGAAGGTTAGCAATTAACGTTCTACCGTATTTAACCTCGTACATACTTTTGCAAATGTATTTTTACTTAATTGCTTCTCTCAACTGTAAAGACTGTCTTCATTGCTCCTCCATGCACCACTTAAGCTTCACTTTAAATGAAGATGTTTTTTTTCCATATTGTGTCTTTCTTACTGCAGATTTCCCAGACTGTGCTAAGATGATTTTGTTCATGGTGACAACATGGCCCAAAGTACTCTCACACAGTAGTTCTCTGTGCCAGGCTATACATACTGTCACCAAACTGAAAGCAGAAGAAAACGTCCTCAGCTGCCTTTCAGCATTCCTTGGTTGGGAAAAGGTATAGTATTTGTAGAGATCGAGTTCTCCAGTTGTATACTTATTTTACTCAAATCTAGCTTGTCTAATGTATATCCTCTGACTTTTAAAGGGGGTGACCGGTGAAAACATTGCTATTTATTTTAATTCCTTTTAAAATGTAGATAATTGTGATGCCATTTAAGTTTAATAAATTGTTTGGGTCCTGACCTTTGTGACCATAGTTTAGCCAGATCACTGTTTTTATCAAATGTCTTATTTCCCAATTGTATCCCTTTTTAAATCTAATCTCCTTTTATCACTGCAGAGTCCTCCCTGTGAAATTGAGACGCTGATATCCAGAACGCTGTCTGATATTCAGTCAGGGTCAGGCATGTCTTTCACTAAACACAGTCGCTACGGGCAGGACCTGGGGACTGAGGCCTGGCAGCATGTCTTAACTCTGCAACTCCTCTGTTCACACAAGAAGTGGAAGTGGACCTATGATCATTTATTGGGGTATGTTATTTGTTCTGACTTAAAGATACATACACATATACACATAGTCTTCCAAACAAAATCTAAATAATCTGTGTGAAGCTGACTATTTTCTGTAAACAGGCATCTATTGTAACCCTGTGCTAATCTGTAGTGATGGGAATTATGGCTCTTTGAAGGGAGCCGGATCTTATGGCTCCGTTCCTTTCAAAGAGCCGTTCAAAAGAGCCGTTTTTTTAAAGGGGGCGGGGTTACTAGGTTTATCTGCGAACTAATCACCAGGATAATGATTGACTGTATTGCCAGACCTAATGTCAATAATCTGCATTGTAAACATGACACAAGGTGGCGCCATATCCATGTCATTCATGTCAGTGAATGTACTTTGAATTTACCCTCTGTATGTGTTAAGTAAATAAAGTTGCCTTGCCTTGAATGAAATTCACGCAACTCTTAATATTAGATACTGTGTTTTTAAGTGGCGATAGAGATTATTTGTTGACCCTGCTTTAAAGGATATTTTGCCTTTACAAATGGTGCGCTTTATCACTGCCTGGGTTTTGGTTGAAATGCATCCAAATGCTGCTGCGGTTTCGCGTTTGGCTCATTTTCCATTCTAAAAACACGTTGTCTACCTGTCCTGTACCAGTTGTTATGACTTCTCTCTCTCGCGTATTCCGTTAAGACCCACCCCATCTCACTCCTCGTGCTGAAACCTACCAATCAGAGTAAGGGCGGGTCTTCACAGAATACATTTGGGGAACAAAATCAAGCTTTTTAAAAGGCGAGTGGATTTTGGCAGGCAGTGAGTGCGGACCAACGATTGAACGATAAAAAGAACGGCTCTCAACTAGTACGACTCGGTTCCTCTCGTTCGTACCAAAGAGCCGTTCTAAATAATCGGCTCGTTCGCGACCGACACATCACTACTAATCTGTTGATTCTGCTTCGACAGCAAGGAGTTGTGGCCACTCATGAACACCTGGGTGACACAGCCCAGAGATCAACAAACTCCTATCTCTGATGTGACCGTCGCCACTGTCCTCCGACTCATTGGTGGGTTGTTTTGTTTTTTTGAAGGTTACCATAACCTGAATCAAGTGTAATTAATTGATAGCCTAGGGATTACCAAATTGAAAATGTTATTGTTTTTCCATTTAATATAGGATGCCTCGGTCAACTTGGAATGAAAGATAGGAATTCTTCCTCAGTGGTAACAGTAGCCAGCGTCATGAACGCGTTTGGAAGGCACGGACAGACTGAAGGTATCTATAAGTGCTCAGTGTTGTCCATTTCCCAAGACATGCCTTTAGTTGGTCATCATTTTTTTAAACACTAATGTAGTTTTCTTTCTATTTTGAGTATTTACACGTGTGTGCATTTTAAACAGATTCCAGTGTGTATATATATATATATATATATATATATATATATATATATATATTATCCTGGCATTTAATTTTTTTTTCACATTTTGCCTTTTATTTATAGTACAGAAGAGATACAGAGGAAATTAAGGACTTAACCTTTAGTAAATGGCCTCCACCCCCATTTAGAAGTTTAATCTCATAATGTTTTTTCCCACAGGTGTGCCATGGGAGGTCCAGTTGGCCGCCATCTACTGCATCTATGACCTGTCTCCCTGCAACCCCAAACAAGCCATGGATGCCCTGGCAGGGTGGAGAGGAGAAACGTCTCAGACCGTCCCTCCTGCAGTCACCAGCTGCATTAACCAGTTAGCTTCTATCTGCAGACAAGTCAAGAGTTGAGAGACACAAATGCTATACAGTTTGCATGTCAGTTTGTACCCTTTTTTTTAATGAAAAATTCCAACTATGCACCTACATTTGTATTTAAACTTGCTGACTGGCAGTCTATGGTAGAGCTGTTAACCATTTGGGCACATAAATGTTCTGAAATTGGTTTGGTGCTACTCCTCACAAAGGAGTTCTTGAAGTTCATAGTAAGCCTTTAAATTCAAATATGCTGAAAGACAGTTCAGACAAATGTTTTAGTTTGTGTTTTGTATTTGCACTTCTACTTTAAAATGAATACATTTAAATGTACTCTGATTTAGTAGCAAATGTTTCCTCAATGTTTAGTACTGGAGACATTTAACATTCGTTTTTTAAACTGTACACACCCTGTCATAAATGTACCGGCATGAATCGCTGCAATCTTTTTGCTCAGGTAATGCTCTCAAATATTGTCAAATATGTACATGTGTTCTGGTTAAACTGTGGCCCTGTTTTATATAATTTCTTCATTTGTAAATATGAGGATTTGATGTTTGTATGAATGAAAAATAAGATTGCCACAGCTCTGTACAGTTTAAAGTTTCAGAGGTTATTTAACTTTTTCAAATAAAAAATTCAACTTAATGAACATAAAATACATGTCTATTTGGTTGCATTTACTCCTCACTTGCCCAAATGAAATTCATTATAAAGCCATGCAAATTGTGTTCTGGACCTTGGTCTACAAACGTAATATAGCCTACTGACCTAAACTGCATGCTTATCCTAAATGAGAATAAGTCATTTATAAACTTATATTTCTTCGGGTGACATAACATTATCATTCGAATACAACATTGTGATAGAGGCAGTAATAATTGATCCAGCCAAATTTTAAAAAACGATCACGTTTATTCTGCCCGGTCTGATCTGTGCAACATAATGGCTACAATTTCCGGACGTTGCCTTCAAAATAAAAGCCCACAACACATTTGATACGTATTACATTTGAATAAATGTGTCTTAGAACAAATTGCAGAATTGTAAAATCGTGTAGAGACGATTTCTGTTATGACTTCAAATGCTTTTAAGAAATCCTGAATGAGAAATTGGTTTTAGACAAGATTTAGGAATATGGAGTAGGAGAGTTACACTTTAACAACCTATATCATCTATAAAGTATATATTTTTAAATGTAATTAAGCTAAAATCTCTTGGACATACTGCTTTGTATTTTTTTTATGTTGTGTGTTGTTAATATGAGTTTCCAAGGCGTGGGTTCATTATTACGTTTAACTTCCGGTGTGTCCGGCCTGTGTTTGGGTAAATTGACGCATCTTTGAGTCTCGGGGGGTGTGTTCAAAGATTTAAATCCCTTGGACATGCGTAGACGCTGATCCGGCCTGCTGGGTTCGCCATATTGGCTGTCTTTACATGGGGAGTGGAGTTGGACGACCTGCCTGAAAAACCAAATCAGTTACTGGACATGAAGCAATTCGAAGATAACAAGTAAATTAACGCGGTAGGATTTATCTGTCTACTTGAACGCAAAGTGTTGAATTTGCCAAATTGCTCGCCATTTCCCCCTGAAGTGGTTCTCGACCAACTCTACTCCAATGGATCCCCGGACCGCTTGGATGCAGCCGGAACAGAAGGGACCTGCCAATTCCCCGTGGGTGCACATTTGGGAATCCTCTCAGGGATTTGGAGCTAACTCCGGCATCGACAACCACCTTCACCACCAACGCAACTTTGCATCATTAAATGCAAACTCCACGGAGGCTAACGGTGAGTATCGCAAGAATGTAGCACTGCCGGGGTGTGTGTTTGGGAAACTGTCGAAGCGAGACAGCGGCGGCGTAGAGAGGGGAAATGTCCGGAGGACGGGCTCGTTGTCGCCGTCCTCCTCCTCACTGGACTCGGAGGCCGAAAGCTCCTCGCCTTCCGGCTCCTCGCTGCAAATCGATAATTTGAACGAAGAGGCCAGTCGGTTTTTACACTACGGCGAGCACGAGTTGAACGAGAACAATCTCAGACGGCAACAGCAGCCCCCTCCGCCTTTTCACACTGTCCAGCAACACTGTCGCAGCATGCAACAATCTGGCGGCCACACCCCCACCGGGATGAAAAATCAGCATGGGAACAAGCACCACCACTATCAGTCACAGTCATCCGGCCGCAGGAGGCACCTGAACAGGGCCAACACTTTCCACGGTATCAACCCGCTCCTGTCCTACGCCTGCAATGGACACCATGTAGACTCTTCGTTATGCCTGTGGAAAACCAGGCGCTACAGCCCGGGTATAAACGGGTAAGGATAATTGTAAGGTTTTTTTTTCTAAGTCATGAGGTACGGGGTTCTTAAAGGAAACTCACCTGGTCACCCAATGAACACTTTTCCATGATGAATTGTAATGAAATAGGTTCAGTATGCATTAAACAGTTACATGTAGGCCTATGCTTTTTCTCATCGTACATTGCACGATTTATGTCGATCTAGTATTTCATATCGCAATAAACGGTGAAAACCATCAGTTGTGTAACTGACCCAACTCATTTATCTACGTTAACTTGCAAGTCAGACATTTAAAACAATTTAAATAGTTTGTAAAATAATGAACTTGAATTTGTGTGAACTGAAGTGCTTCAAACAATTCCTTTAGGGCAGTAACATTAGTATAGTCTTTATGTCTAGGCCTTTTAATTTGTATCAAATGCATCCAGAAATGCTTTCTGTAATCTTACATTATATTGCTCACTCTGTTCCTGTGGTTCTGTCCTTTCTCCTTTTTTGAATCTTCAGTCTTCATGAAGAAATTGTGGACTTTTTCAACTTCATGTCGCCACGACCAGAGGAGGAAGCCATGAGAAGAGATGTTGTGAACAGAATAGAAGGTGTCATCATGGACTTGTGGCCCACAGCACGGGTGAGCACCTGTAAAACTCTCAGCTACTTTCAAAGGTCATTATTCGACCATGGTTTCCTAAAACGCAGAAACAGAGGATGAAACCCTCTTTATTTGTCACACATACATGCACACAGTGAACTTGTGTCTCTGCTTTTAACCCATCCTAGTACTAGGAGCAGTGGTGAGTGTTGTGTCGCTTTTGGCTTAGTTCAATATACGATACGATATTACTTTATTAGTCGGACCAAGTCTGAAATTTGACTTGCGTCACAGCAGCTCCATGTCCAACACCAACATAGACAAATATCCAGACACAAATACATGAAACACAAACAACAAACATTTAACATAACAGCACAATCAGTGCTGTTATAAAATACATTTCAATCAAGCCATTGAGTTGGATGACCACTTCACTGACACTGTCTAATCATACTGAGAATGTAAGCGTTTTAGGCGCCGTTTACACGAGGAGAAAACTGCTTTTATCTGCATAGTTTCGCGTGCGTATAGCCCTATTATTTACACGAGTCTGATAGAAACTGACCCCACAAACGATAACGGGTCCCAAGGTGGATAGATTTGCAAACGAAACGCTCTGGGGGGGTCAACCGAGTCCGTGTAATCACCTCTATACGAATATTTCCTGAAAAAATAACGATAGCCCCACCTTTCCCCACCTCTCCTGCTCACTGCTGTAGCATGGCTGTGTTAATTAAACGCACAAGGGGTTCTTGAATGAAATAATATTATAAAAGGCAAACCAGAATTGTTAACGCCCAATATACTCCTTAAACAAAATAAACAGAGTCAGATTTCATGCATTGATCCATTATATTGACAAAGGAGGATCTCACCCGGTGTTTGTAGAGAATATCTCTGAGCGAGTCCTCTCCACGGAGACATGCTCCTCCTCCTGTCAGTAGCTACTGCTAGTGCTACTGCTACTGACCATGCTACAGATATTAGTGCAAAAATATACAGCTCCTCTACCACAACCATCAGCAACAAGTGGACATGGAGAATTACATGAACTACATGTTGCTAAATCCACGGCGGGGCGTAAACAGAAGGGTAGCCATGGCAACATTGCAGCGGGGCTACTGCGGAGTCTTCGTCACTGCTTTTGGTGTATTTTGTGGCGGAAGTTACAGCGCCACTTACAGTCCCGGCATATGTACTACAGCGTTTCCAGCGGTCTCGTTTGAACAGACACGTTAAATGAAACGAATGCATGTGAACGGAAGACTTTTTTGAATACGCATACTGTGCATAAACGCAAACGTTCCCGTGTGAGCGGGGCCTTAGAAAGAATATTACTTATGGGAGACCAATTTAATTGATATAAAATGTATACATCCACTTTTCTAAAATGGACCTTTTTTTTTTCCTCTTATGAGCTGGAGTGTACCAAGAAAATAGGTGCAAAAGCAGGTCTCCACTCAGGATTCACATATTTAATTTCAAAACCTTTTGGAATACATTTCTATATCAGTTTTTTTTAATGCATATTCTTTCTCTTTTAATTGACTGGTTTTGTCAAAAAAAAATGTATTCAATACTGCTATCGCCTGTTTAAATCAATGTGTTTGTTTGTAAAGTTTTTTTGTCTGAAGATTTACTGTGCTTCACGTTTGGCCTTTCTGTAGACGGTCAACTCACTTACGGCCCGTCCACATGGCGGCGTGCGTTGAAGCTTCAACGCTTCTGCCCATTCACTTTGAATGGGGTGACGTCACGCTTTGCCGAACTGCATTGTGGTTCCGTCGCTTCGCTTTGCTCGCTTCAAAAGTTGAGCAATGTTCAACTTTTGAAGCTTCGAAGGAAGCGTTAGCCAATTAAATCATATGCCAGTACAAGCTCTAGCCAATCAAACCGCGTGCTTGTGTGTCCGGGGCGGGAGATTCATGTGATTGGTTGTTGGTCAGGCTTCCGACACGCCTGCCGGCAAGCTTCAACGCACGCTGCCGTGTGGACGCTGCGTTACACTGCACGTCCAGAGTTGCCGAGATGTTATTATTATTCATGTAACTTGCATTTCTAAATAAACATTAGTAAATTAATGTTATACTCAGTGTAATTTGTAACAAATGGCATTTTTTTTTTGGTTGCCATTTATGAACCTTTTAAGCTAATCCTAGCCCAGAGAGGTCCCACTGGGCCTCACTTTCCTCCAAAAGACACATTTGTGTTTCTCCAAGCTGTGGTGGTACAAATCATGCGTTGAGCAGTACAGCTCAAATGCATGCATAAAGGTCACCCTTGCTAAAACATGA